ACATTTCTCTAATATTGACAAAAGCTCTATCCTGCTTTTGGAAGTCAATTTAGTTGTGCTGAATCTCGTAGACATCTGGCTTTTAAAATATTACCTATTGTCAGTACTAAGTCTTTGGTACAAATGAGTTTGAATGTTGCCTTCCAAAAGCTAAGAAAAACATTAAGAAACAAGAAAATTTCATAGACTTGATGCAACAGAAATGTGTCTCCACAGAAGGATTCTGAGAGTACCATGGATTGTACATGTTATACTTAGAATCGGAAAAAGACAATTGAAATTTTTAGCGCACATCATGAGGACAGATGGCTTGGAGAATTTGACTCTCACAGGAAAAATTGAAGGCAGGGCGGATAGGGGAAAGCAGCGAATAAATGACCTAAATGGCTTGTGTAAATGCTTGGCACAACAGGGATTAGGGGAGAAAAAAACAAACAAACTTTACTAAGACCAACAATAGACGGAAAGTTGTGAAGAGCCATAATCGCCCACGTCCGGAAATGACAAGGTAATTATAAGAAGAACAACATATAAATCAAGTTCTTATTTTGAAGAACATAGAAATTTCATTGAACACAACTGGTAAAGTTTGTCTTAAGATAACTCAAAATAATATATTTTTGAGTTTCGAATAGACGAACTCGGACGATTATCTATTTTGAAAGTTTAAATCCCCCCGGAACTTTATTTAACCGCCCCTTTTGTTAAAAATTCATTTCTTTATTTACAAACAGTTTCAATAGTACAGTATGACCCTGGACTTGAAGAGACGAAGATTGTAGTAGTCAGGGAAGCAGTTGTAGTTGTCTGTTCCACAAAGTAACAGTTCTGGGGAGGAAGCTCTCTAAGTGGGACTTGCTTCTTATCAAAGGAACACGAAACAGGGATGGTTTGCCGAGAAATGTAACTCATCAGGACCTCTGCCAGAATAGTAGAGCTAGAGTAATAAGAGACTATGAAGACCGAACTGAACCCTTTATTTCGCTCACAGACTGTTCTAGTTCCACGTACCATATCTAATAGATGTCAGTTATCAGTTATCTGCAGTTAATTCTCCTCTCCAAGTTCTCCACTGCTATAACCGGTTATTGAACTCACACTTTTTGGGTTGTCACTGGATCTAACCAACGCTTTTATCCACTGTGCCATGTGTCGTTGAGAAATCTGCGCATGAATTTCTGGGTATTATAATGTCTCAGCAACCATTTTTTTTTACCAGTGCTCATATAGAAATTTTTCCAAGCGTAGCTTAGATGTGGCACAAGGCCGAAAGTATGGGGCATCCAGTGAGAATCGAACTCACTTTTCAGTAGTAACTGATCTAGGAAGCCAAGCTTGCTAACCATTACACCACGCCGAGGTGCCCACATAATAATTTTCCAAGCGCAGCTTAGATGTGGCACAAGGCCGAAAGTAAGGAGCACCCAGTGAGGATCGAACTCACTGCTCAGTTGTAACTGTTCTAGCGAGACAAGCTTGCTAACCATTACACCGCGTAGAGGTGCCCACATAATGATTTTCCAAGCGCAGCTTAGATGTGGCACAAGGCCGAAAGTATGGAGCACCCAGTGAGGATCGAACTCACTGCTCAGTCGTAACTGTCCTAGCGAGACAAGCTTGCTAAACATTACACCACGCCGAGATGCCCACATAATGATTTTCCAAGCGCAGCTTAGATGTGGCACAAGGCCGAAAGTATGGAGCACCCAGTGAGGATCGAACTCACTGCTCAGTTGTAACTGTTCTAGCGAGACAAGCTTGCTAACCATTACACCACGCCGAGGTGCCCACATAATGATTTTCCAAGCGCAGCTTAGATGTGGCACAAGGCCGAAAGTATGGAGCACTCAGTGAGGATCGAACTCACTGCTCAGTCGTAACTGTTCTAGCGAGACAAGCTTGCTAACCATTATACCGCGTAGAGGTACCAACATAATGATTTTCCAAGCGCAGCTTAGATGTAGCACAAGGCCGAAAGTATGGAGCACCCAGTGAGGATCGAACTCAGTGCTCAGTCGTAACTGTTCTAGCGAGACAAGCTTGCTAACCATTACCCCACGCCAAGAGGTGCCCATACCAGTGCTCATATTGCACAATAAATATGGCGACAAAGATGAGGACAATAGTCCGAATAATGTAAATAGTGTACATAATACCTCATCTCAGAAATATAGACAGATGCTGAGACTGGGGAGGTTTTGTTGTAGAAGTTACTCCCACTCCTTAATTTAGGCTGTGGGCATTCTAGGACATAGCGTTTCATTTTAATATTTAATAAAAGAGGTCGTTAGAACATGAATGCCCCTGTCGAGTTTTCTTCAAAAAAAGAATAATCGTCTTGGCCCATCATTATTTTTTAATAATAATAATGTCCACACTCTACAAGGCGTAGGAGCCACCCGAGGTAGAGCGTTGCAGAGTAAGTGGTAAAGTTTATGGAGATATGTGGTGAAGATATCGATTTAGACTTGAACAGGTTAAGATTGTAGTGATTGGGAAAACAACCCTCTTAAGAGTTGGTTCCACAAAGCAGCGGTTTGTGGAAAGAAGCTGCTCGACTGGAGTTTACATCTCACCAATGGAATATGAAAGGAATGGTTCACTAAAATGTCTGTGGAATGACGGGTCTTAGCCGTGGAGATTACAACTAGTGGTACTAAGGAATGCCGTTCGTCTGAACACTTTTCATGAAAATAGCGATAGAGTATCAAAAGGCTTGCGACGCTTCTTTTGTGGGAAAGGGGTTGTAAGATGGAGAATAATTCATCAGCACCAAGACGCGGAGAGACTTTTGTACTCTATCGTGAGTAGATCACACCTGTCCATATATGGCAGCATTACGCCATTTTCGTCCTGATTTGGTTCTTGTAAAGATAGAAGATAGCAGGAGGATTCAGGTACTTGGTGGAGAACCGACCATTTTTCTATTTAAAAATTGGTGCTCTTTTTACTAAGATTTCACGTATTGACCCATGAAAATGCCCTTTACTGCCATTACTATACTGAGATAAAAAGAATTAGTCAATTGAATTCTCTAATATTTATAGAGTGTTTTTTTTTCAGTAATTCACATTTAAGTAATGTTATTTAAAACTATAGTAGCGTTGTAAAACATAGAGAAATTTCGCCTATCATTTCCGCTTTCTTCTTTTTCTTTTCTTCTTCTTCTTCTTCTTCTTCTTCTTTGGGCTCTGTCCCTTTCGAACGTTAGCGATCACGACTCTCTACAATTTCCTGTCCTTTTTTAGTTCTTAATAAATTTAGTCTTTTTTTAAATCTCTTCTAAAACTTACTCTGTCATACATTTACTCAGTCTCGCTAGGAAGCCCATGCGTTGATTTCCTCTGTTCCTCTTGCCTTTAATCTGTCCCGTGAGTGTCAGATTTTCCAAACCTTCTTTCCTTATGCGCACTAGAAATTACAACTGTCTCTTTCTGATGTTAAGTGTCATTTTTGTTTCCATTGTCTCTAAAAAATTCGTAGTTGCTCACCTGTTCGGTCCATAATATTTTCACCATCTTTCTGTAGAAGCATATTTCTGATGCTTCAGATCTCTTCTTCATCTGCGCGGAGATTATTCAGCATTCGCTTCCATATAGGACGGCTGATATTGCATAACAGTTCAGTATTCTTTTCTTTGCTTCGAACGAAATATTCCTGTACCTTAATACTTTGCTTAGATTTTGGAAAGCATCTTTTGCTATCTCATTGCGCCTTCGAAATTTCAATGTATTCCTTTGCGTCTTCTGTAAAAGCACTTTCCAGAGGCACTGTAAAGTCTTTAGTCTAACCACTGTATAAATATGCGAAGCTAACTATATATAGTTTGCTTTATAATATACAAGGGTAAGGTCGTGAAATATTCATCGGGGGTAGGTCCTGTGTATTTCAGGAGTAAACTTTATTTAGATTCCACGTCTGATATCGATCGTATTTAATAACTTGATTAGCAAAGTCTTTATGCATATCGGTTAAATTTATTTATTTCTCGTAGCTTTGAAAGCTTTATCTAAACCTATGTGTCCATTTTCATCAGGTTATTAGCCTATTATCTTCCTGCAGAGATAATTTGGAATATATCAGTTCATCTTCGTGTTGAGATACATGCTATTATCTAATAAAAACTTACATATATATATATATATATATATATATATATATATATATATATATATATATATATATATAACTAGACTCGTTTCGAAAAACCTAGAATTTTGATTTGCTAATAATCAAATCAATCTCGAGGGAAAAAAAAAAAGGTTTTAAAAAGAAAAAGAGCTACAAACATGAACTTCTGTCGACAAAAAATCGCACAGATGCAGGTTTGAAGCCCAAAGAAAAAACCCCGATACGAGTAAACAACTAACTAACAAAAGAGCTCAATACAACCGTAGAGCAGACCTAGATAAACCTAGTGAGCCAGAAAAACCTACCTAGGTTTCACCTAAACGGATCGTCAGGGAGAGCCTGACTTTCCCTGACGATCCGTTTAGGTGAAATCTAGGTAGATTTGTCTGGCTCACTAGGTGTATCTATCTATCTATATATATATTTCACAATTTGATTTAGGTTTTCCGTACCGTTAATCAGAACTTTGTAGCAGAGACGTAAAAAAAATCTCCTAGCAGTAGGTGAGCTATGTGAACATACAAAAATATCACTCAGTTTTTCACCTACATGGCAGTGGATGCTAAACAATCTTCTCACGGATGAAGAATAGTTTGAAGCAATAGAATGTTTTCTAAAGAAGGATGCTGAGAATGCCATGGATGTAACATGTGAGCAACGTTTTTCGGAAATGGTAACAAAAGTGGCTCACATCGGTATAATCAGAAAAAGACAACGGGAATTTCTAGAGCACATAATGAGGAAAGAGGGCTTGGAAAATTTGATGCGTACACGACACATGAAAGGCAAGAGAGACAAAGGAAAACAACGCATAACTTAATTGTCGAGCTTGTGTGAATGGCTGGTGGAGTAGGGTTTGTGAGAGAGCCATGATCGCCAGCGGCGTGGTTCGATTCTCGCTTGCCTCTGTGAGAACAAGACTGGGAGAAGCCCGGTACACGTTCAACACCCACCCAACAAAACAAAACAAAACAAATTGAAAGCAACATATCGCACGGAAAGTAAAGAAAAGACGAATCCTTTTTTTTTTTAATATTTTTTTTTTTAAGCATTGTGCCCCAAGCAAGGCGTGAAGCCACTAGGGTGCAGGGGGTTGCGGAAGATTTGCAGCGAGAGGAGATAAGAGTGATAGGAGAAAGGAAGAGGAGAAGGATAGTGGGTAGATCAAGGTAATTGGAGATGTCGATTGACATTACATTTGAATAGTTGGAGATTATAGCTTTCAGGGAAACAGTAATTGGGGAGGGTGTTCCACTGGCGAGAGGTGCGAGGTATGAAGCTATTGGAGTAGAAGAGACGGCTACATTTGAAGGTTTCTACGGTGTAAGGGTGAGAGCGGGATGCCAGCCTCGTAGGGCGCTTGAATTCATGGAGTCTGGGAACCAGAGAGAGAGCAGCTCATCAGAGCAGTTACCATGGAAGTATTTGTAGAAAAGACAGAGAGAGGCGACGGCGAGTCTGTGAGAGAGTGACTGCAGACAAGACGCTATATCAGGGCCAATTAGATTACATATCCGTCTCTGGATCTTGTCAAGAACTCCGAGGTACCGAGTTCTTTAGTCTTGGAGTAGATAAGCGACACTTCAGCCATCTCTTGATGCCACTTCTGGTTTTTTCTTGCGACAGACTAACGGATCAGATCTTTCATTCGACCTGCAAGAACTCGTTCTTCGTAGAATGATAACCTGTTCTTACTTTAACCGTGACCCCCACAGCCACGCGAAGGACGCCTTGTGACTTTGATTCTCTGCTATTCTCTCGACAACATGTTCTAGAATACGGTCTGATTATATATGTAAAACTGGAAGTGATTACCTTACAGCCGAGTGTCACTTGATCCAGAAAATTAGTATTTTTCTATTGATCTATTTTATATATTTTTTAAAAGCGGGTGGTGTCTTCGAAATTGTCACTCTTCGATTTTACTGCTAAATGACGTCTTCTTCTACTATATGTCATGTTCTTTCAAGGCGTTGTCGATCATGGCTCTCCACAATTTCCTGTTCTGACGTCCATTTACACAAACTCGTTCGGTAGGTCATGCGTTGTTTTCCTCTGTCCTTTTTGTTTTCAGTGTATCCTGTGAGTGTCAGATTTTCCAAACCCCCTTTCCCCATGAATTTCAACTGCCTACTTCTGATGTTAAGTGTCCTTTTTGTTTCCATTTTCACTGACCCAGGGTACCCCAAGTCTAGATAAAATGATTTACAGTTTACTTGGCTACTTGGGTGTTCTAACGAATCGAACGGAAACCGATAAACTTGAAGCTATGATTTCTGCAAAGATTTCGGTCTAACCAATATATAAGTACATGAGGATACTTATTTATTGATTGTTTAATAATATACAGAGGTAAGATTCTAAAATATCAACCAGAGATAAATAGATTTCGTTCATTTTATAACCAGCTTTTGATTTCTCGTCTTAACCAAGAACCCAAAATACTGACATTATTAGTAGTAACTTTATACGCAACAGACCAAGAATATTTATTCCTTGTAGCTTTAAAACTTTTGTCTATTCCCATCAGTATATTTCCATCATGGTAATTGCAGCATTATTTTCCTGCGTAGATGATTTGAGATATATATTCTGTCTGTTCAGTTTCGGCATAAGTAATAAAAATCATCTACTAAAAGATATTACTTTTCTTAGCAGCGTCATAATTGCTCGAATTCAGTGCTTGAGATCCTTAATGTCTTTGTTCGCATCTTTGTTCTACGGACAAATCTGTGTTTGGCATGTGAGGAATCATTTTCAGGTAGGTTTCCTTTAAAGAAACCTCGAATGATTTTTACCTGCCTGAGATGAAACCACACAAAAAAAAAGAAGAAAAAAAAGAAAAAGAAAAGAAAAATGACCGCGAGAAGAAAATTGCGTAAAGAAAAAGAAATAATGATATAATCAAACTGTTAACTTTCCAAACCACCCAAAACAAAATGCTTGGAAGGAAACTCCCATCACTACTAGAGAGAGCGACTACTTGACAAGTCTAATTTCTTGAAAAACTGCTTTTTTAAATCTCGTTGAAATTTTCCGAGCATATAACAAAGAAAGAGTTGAAAATTTCTGTTTCTACGTACGTCCGACCATCTATATCTATTTGATATGAATAAAAATACAGAATGTATTGTAATGGTAATGGTAATATTAGCCATTCCCTTATAAGGAAACATTTGGTTTAATCCACCAAGCAGTCAGTGCTTCTGTCGAAGAGTCGTTTTTGATTTCCAGTCCGGTTAATTACCGTCCCTTATGCTCAAATACCTTTCGGGAACGTTATGAATCCTTTCCTTCTCTCTCAAGTGTGCTTTAAATAGTAGGACTTTCATCTGAAAATTATTATCTCCAAAAAATTGGTAATACAATACTCATTTGCAAAAAAAAAAAAAAAAAAAACAAGAATTATCTTTACTGTGCAAAAATACGTTTCGGATAAATCAGATAAGTTTCAAATAAACTACAAAAGGTTGATAATCTCTACAAATAAATAAAAATAAATAAAGTGACCATCCCTGGGTTTGGGTGGGAGTTAACATTTTATCTGACTTATTTAACTTAAAGAGAAGATAATTTATGCAAATGATATTCATATTTGATTTCAATATTTTGACTACATTGGCTATCTTACATGACTTAAACACTTATGATTTACACTTAAAAAATATGATCAGTTCCAATAATTGCAATTACTTAGTGTGGTGATGATTATTAGAATATATAACATTTTCTTCTTATTGTTATAAGAAAAGCTATTCAATACTAAAATCAGCATTTCTTTTTCAGGAATTAACCTCTAAACTAAAACCTTAAAAGTTAAAAAATATGCATGAATTAATTTTATTTCACTAATATGTCATGAGCTGAAACGATTGAAAAGTGAAACATGCATTGTACATAGTGTAATGGAAAGGGAATTTAAATTTTTTGAAATAACATAAGATGATGATAACATATGATGATAATAATAACATTTTTTAAAATTAAAACAAGATGAGAATAATAACAATTTTGAAAGTAACACAAGAGTATAATAACAATTTTTGAAATAACATAAGATGATAATAACGTGAGCTGGTAATAACAATTTTTGAAATAACACAAGATGATGAAATAACTATTTTTGAAATAACGTGAGATAATGATAATAACAATTTTTGAAATAACACAAGACAATAATAACAATTTTTGAAATAACATAAAATGATAATAACATGATGTGATAATAATATTTTTTGAAATTACACAAGATGATAATAACATTTTTTAAAATAAATCAAGATGAGAATAATAACAATTTTTGAAGTAACACAAGATTATAATAACAATTTTTGGAATAACATAAGATTATAATAACGTGAGCTGGTAATAATAATTTTTGAAATAACACAAGATGATAAAATAACAATTTTTGAAATAATATGAGATGATGATAATAACATCCAGCAGATATTCTGCAGACGTGAAAGAAATAACTGCACAGTCATTAATATTTCAAATATTGATTTTACCCTCCAATAACAAAAAAAAAAAGTATCTTCGGAATAAAAGATAGAACTTAATAAGCCGTAAACGTATTTATATTTGCAGAGAAGCAGTGAATTAAAAAAGCGGGTGTTGTGTTCAGAAATGAAAAGCGATGTAGGTGCAAGAAATATGAAAGTATATTGACCAACTACAGCCAATGAGCGAAATAAAATGTAAGATTAAGACGTTATTCTCTATGACCTGCTGTCATCGTTAACCGATTTGTATTACTGGCGACAATCCAAAAAGACACACAGCGGCCTAAAATCTTAAATTATAACTTTTGAAACGTTTTTGATAAGACACAAAAAACTTGTGCTATAAAAGTAATATTACTACCAGTTTAGCCCTACAGGAAGCTGGCAGGTCATGGCTCTACACAATTTCCTGTTCTTGTAGGTCTTAAATGTATTTTTGACAACTCTCCCAAGACCTGCTTCGCCATCCGTTCACTTAAGCTGGTCAGATAGGTTTTTGCGCTACTTTCCTCTGTCGCACATTTTAGCCTCTTTCCTCATTATGTGCCCTAGAAATTTCAATTGTCTCTTCCTGATCTTAAGCATAAGTGATATTCTCAGTATCCTTCTGTAGAGTCACATTTCTGCAGCTTCACTTCTTTTCTTCATTTGTGTGGAGATTGTCCAGCATTCACTGCCATATAGGAGGACTGCATAACAGTTCACTACTCTTTTCTTTGTTTCTAACGATATTTTACTGTTTCTTAATACTATGCTCAGCTTTTGGAAGGCACCTTTCGCTATCCCAATGCGCCTTTGGATTTCCGTGTCGCACTTTCCGTCCTCAGTTAAAACACTTCACAGATATTTTACTGTTTCCTTATACTTTGCTTAGCTTTTGGAAGGCATTTTTCGCTATTCCAATCCGCCTCCGGATTTCCATCTCACACTTTCTATCCTCTGTTAAAACACTTCCCAGATATTTTACTGTTTCTTAATACTTTGCTTAGTTTTTGGAAGGCATCTTTCGCTATCCCAATTCCCCTTCAGATTTCCGTATCACACTTTCTTTTCTCTATTAATACGCTTCTCAGATATTTAAATTTTTGCACTTGTTTGATTTTGGTACCCCTAGTTTGTAATTTGTATGTTGGGCTGTCCCTTTTGCTAACAACAATGCATTTTTTCTTCGTTGAATTGATGTTTATTCCTTTCTTCTCGCTTTCCTTCACTACATTCCGTAGGAGTTCTTATAACTTCCTTTCTGTGTTTGTCAAAATTTGCAACGTATAATCTTTAAGTCTTAGAGTTCATTAAATATATAAATTACTAAAAATTGGCGTGAATTAAATATTTTTATTGGGTTATGAAAATACAGTTCTAATCAGTTGAACAACACCGGAAAAGTTTTAAAATTTTCCAGATTAAATAATCTTGAATTATTTTGAAGCTACAAGAATGTCATCGGATAAGCATGTACAATAGAAAATTTGAAACGACAAATATACTCTTTGTGAGGGTCCTATATATATATGCCACTGAGGAACTATAGAGAGTTGGGGAGGGGGAAATAAGAAACCTGTCAATTCTCTAGTTTAAATAATTTTGATTACTTTCTTACTTTAGGATAAAAGTTCAGGATTATTTTTCTTAGAGCAAATGTTTTAGATTTTTTGACATTGTGTTTATTTATTTTGTATATCATTTTCTTTTACTTTTCTGTATAATTTCTTCGTTTCTAAATTATTGTATTTATAATAAAGTACTGAAATTAGGTTATGGCTTATGATGCAGTTGAAGGTAGCGTAGTAGGAATTTGAGTTCGTCAAGTAGTAATGACCGATGCTTGTGGCTTGAAACTGCCAGTCTGTATTCAATGCAGATTTCTATGTCCAAACTAGTTATATATACAGATACGCTATCTCCGAATTTGAACAACGTAATCTATCTATCTATCTATCTATCTATCTATCTATCTATCTATCTATCTATCTTTGGTTAATACACTTGGATGTACGGGTTGCGTCATTTTTAGCGTCTCCGAACGAGAAATCGTTTAGGAAAGCTATAAATCAATATCTTCTCCTCCAGGCTATGGGTCAACTAATAGGGAAAACGAGGTTCTGGAGCCATGGTTGGAATCCAGTAGAAGAGAAGGAAAATCTCTGAATTCAAAATCCTAACCCTAACCCCGGTGAAGTACATACTACACAGCCAATAGATTGTGGAGTTCACACTGACTCTATGATCTCGACTTCAGTCGATCGGATGGATGATAGGTAAACACCAACAAAAGTCATTTGTTTACTATTACAATCATCTTAAATGATACATCAAAATTATAATTGCTATTCAGAATCCGTACTGTCACCCATAAAAATATATAAATAAGCTTATTAATGTTAATAATGCTGAAATAGGATCTTTAAAATTTGAATTAATCAGTGACGAACATAAAGCAGATTATATCGGCGCAAAAATTCGTCTCACAGCTCTCACAATATCAACAATAAATAAAGCAAAAGAAAAGAAAAAGCTTACAAAGGATTCACCCTATAAAGATGCCTAAGGTGATATTGCATTTCGGTGAAGTGGCTTCTTTTTTTGTGTTGTGTCATTTCATGATGTGGACGATTATGGTTCTCCCCAACTTCCTATCCTTCACAGGTCGAAGTAATATCTTTTTCCTTACTTCCCAACTAGTCCTTTTAGTGCAAATGAATTACACAAAGTCGTTAGGCAGGTTATTCGCGGTTTCACTTCTTGCCGTCAATATGTTCTGTCAGTGTCAAATTCTCCAAGCCCTCTTTACTCAGACGTCCCAGAAATTCCAACCGCCTGTAGCTACGCAAAAGGATAATGAGCAAGTTTCTTGATTTCTTTAACGACTGACAGCAGCATCGATCACACATCAATCGAAGAAGGGAATTTTTATTGATCAGACCCTAATTCGATGGGAACCTGCAGACAAATTATAAAATAGTTACTATTCGTTTAAACGCTTGACCAGTATTTTGTCTAAATATTTTGTTTCTTGTCCACTGATCTATAGAAGTGTTATCTTACACCAGACAGAACGCCTGCGCCACAGGTTGTAAAAATACAGTTCGCTAAACATTCCCATCACCGGAAGACACAAGGTGACGTATGAGAAAGACGATTCGATAATAAAATTACGTGGAAATTTTTGAAGTTAGTTATTGTTCTACAATTGAATTAATATCCACGGTGTTAACACAGTTCTATGGAATTTCTCTCTTGGAGACGATGTTGGATATTGATAAAAGTCAAATGATTTTCATTCCTTTGGCTTCTAGCCATATTCTTCTCGATTTATATTTGGAGTATGAGAAAAATATTGCAACTTTGCTTTTCGTTTCATCTTGTCTTAACCGCTACGTTGAAGGCGTTACTTCTAGTTGCATCTAATTGAAGAATTTGATTAATTTCTAAAAAGAACTCGTTCATTTTCTCCATCCAGTCTCAAAATATTTGCTTTTTTTTTTTCGAAATGTTGGCGTCATCACAATTTCGTTGATGTTTGGTATTTACAAAGTTTAAGAGAAACTTTTATTTCCCCGAGAGTCATGGCCGTGGTTCTCTGCTTTGGATCAGTTTCACAAAGTTTACACTTTTGCATAAGTAGCAGCCTGCATTCGGTTAGCAAATGAATTCCGTAAATACACAAGAATAGAAAGGAGCGTAAGACAAGGATGAGTCTTCTCACCAGATCTTTTCAACCTTTACAAAATCAAACAACCAATCCATCCACTTCCGTGTTGTATCTTCTCTGTTTTTCTTCTATAAATATTTTCATGATAATTGTTCTGATGATATGTTCTCTTATATACCATTATTAATTTAAGCGCAGTAATAAATTGTTGGTAAGGTTTCATCATTTTACAGTTGAAATGGCTCGATGTTCCATGCTAAGTTTCTTTTGAAGTACTTCTTGCTTATAAAATTATCTTCCTGTTTCTTGCTTCCCATTCAATTTTGATTTAAACAAATTATATTTAATGTCTTCTTAATTCATGTTCTTTTATTGTTCTCTCTCCTAAATATTGTTTTCTTTTTCTTATATTCAATCACACTCAATAGCCACTGGAGTCTTAGTGTCATTATTGCCTTGCTTGGGTTGAAATGATAAAAAAACTAAAAAAAACTAATTATTACTACATATGTTATTTTAGTAGTTACCCGTGTTTGAATAAATATTCCCGCTTTTTAAAAATTTTCTTAAACAGTAAAATTAACCGGCTAAATTAATCTAACTAAAGGAAATTGTGACACGCGACAAGAATTCAACCAGTGCCACTTTCAACATTAGGAAGCCACTTTCATGACCAAAGAGGGCCACATGAATCACTCAGTTACGTGTCATGCGTGATACACTCTTAGGCGATCATGTATCTTTCGATACATAACTGACGAGGCAGATTTTTTTCCCGCAGTAGGTTGCCATTTCTTTTTGCGAAATTTTCTATACAACCCGGTCTGTCCTGTTACTTAAGGTGGGGGAGAAGTAGAGGATTCATACCTTTCTCTAGTGCATTAGTACGTAAGTAAATGTAATGGATTCGAACCCGGCTGTCCGATTTCTCAGTCCAAGCCGCTATCCAGTAGGATCTAGATAAAAGCGATGATCAATTACCTGTTCAAGGAAACGCACATCTCTCGTTAGGACTTGGGCAGCTGGATATAATCGTTAGCAGGTTTTGTTTCGCTAGAACCATTTCGACAGTGTAGGGAGTTCGATCCTCCCCGGGTGTCCCATACTTTCGGCCTTGTACCACATCTAAGCTACGCCCAGAAAATCACCATATATCGTTGGGACTTCCACAAATCTATAACTTTTGGCTTCATATCCCTACCCAAAGCGTAAATACCATATTTTTATGAACGTATTTTTAATCTAACATTGATTCTTATTACTGTAGACTTTATTTCTAGTAGGAACACGCGTTTTTTTAAATTCATAAACAGTGAAATTAATAACCGGCCTAGATCGAGATGTTCCACGAAAGTAAAAAAAGGAAAAAGAAAATATGCCTTCCGACAAGAATCGAGCCTGTAACCCTTTCCCTATCAGTAATACCACTCCTATAATCGAAGCGTCCTACTTGCAGTGAAAAAAAGAATATTTATGTATGTTCGGCAGCGGTTGAATTGTGAACGGATGTCTTCTGGACGATTTATACTGGCTTTTAGTAAAATATTTCTCGAAACCTATGTCACCAATGGAATTTACATCTCTGTCTATAAAAGGCAGGATGTGTGCGTGTGTGTAACGAATGTACGGCCGCAATTGTCGACGGATTTGCACCAAAATTTACATGCACATGCTCCAGGTTAGCGGGAAGGCCAAGACCGACTTTGCATTTCCCAATTCTCATCGATAGTGGAAATAATCGATTTTTTATGCTTCTACGGCAGTTTTCATGTAGTTTGCGGCCATTTTCTACTGGCCAGAGTGAGAGCCTATAGCTGGCTGCCACGAATAGGCAGGATGATTCTATTGGCCAGCGTGAGAGGCAACAGCTGACTGACACAAATGTTAAATAGCATGCTAGCATGCAAAAAAAATCGATAGCTGCATTCGTCACAAGTGGGAAAAATTTAAATCTGCATGGCACTTTACTCCAATTGGCTCATTCGCTTGCTTAAACTCAACGTTGATTCTGATTCCGCAGAACTGGGTTGGGTGTGAAAAAGTATTTGTTGTTAACATTTTTTTTTCATTCGGTTTTTCCAGTTACGAGTCTTTTTTTAAAGCTGATCGTTTTGTGTTCATTTGGTTTAGTTCTTTTTTCGTCAAAGATTTAATGTTTAGTATAGAGCTAAGAAAAAATTCGCAGTGTGAGATAGGCAAGAAGTAAGGCATGTACGTCAAAGGGCACTCCTTTAAATGCAAGGAATGGCAAAAATATTTTAAGTCAAGTGATAGCGATTGCTGTATGAGTCGTACGATTTTTGAATCAAGCACGGGCAACGCCGGGCCATGCTTCTAGTTTCCAAGTAACTGTATTAACTCAAGACTAAGACGTTCAATGGACCGCTTGCATTTTTATAATTAATTCAATGTATATTTGAGTTAATCTCCGCTCGTTTTCCTAAAAAGAATGTTTCAGATTCAACTAAAGTATCATTCTCAGAAAATAGCAGAGATTGGCACCAAACCGTTAATCGTTGATTAACGAAGTTGTCATTTTCGTTGGCGATTTGACTTTTATGTTGACTTGAGAATCATGGGCACCGTCAATCAAAAAGTTAACTTCTTTAACCGTCAATTCGTTAATCAAAAAACTAACTTCGTTAATGGCTGATCCATTAGCTCTTTAAAAATATAACGGAAGTTATCGTTAAGTCGTTAACGTTATACTCTGAGACAGTTCCTGCTGAGGTTTTGGCATTGGTAGTTTTAACTTCGACGACATCAACAGATTTAAGTTTCTGAGATGCCATGATGACGTTCAAAGTTGGCTTGGGAGTTGAATCGCTGGCAAAAATGTTAACTCCGTTAATTCAAGTGAGGAACAGATTAATGGTTTGGTGGCCAACTCTCCCAGACTAAGGATCAAGTAAGAAGAAGACATTTTGTCAGCAAGAGAAAATGCCCAAGATGCCAACTACGAAACGGAGATGTCTACATCAAACAAGTACAGAAGATTAAATATCTGGGAAGTGTTCTCATTTTCGTTGGCTATTTGGCTTTTATGTTGAATTTGAGAATCATCACAGGTGGGCACCTTTTAATCAAAAAGTTAATTTCGTTAACCGTTGATTCTTTAGCTCTTTAAAAATATAACGGAAGTTATTGCTAAACCGTTTTACGTTAAGTTCTGATCCTCTTCCTGCTGAGGTCTGTTGGCACTGGCCATTTTAACTTCGACGACATCAACAGATTTAAGTTTCTGAGATGACACGATGACTTTCAAAGTTGGCTTGGGGGTTGAATCGATGGCGAAAATGTTAGCTTCGTTAATTAAAGCAATTAACGATTTTACGGCTTGGTACCCAGCTCTGGAAAATATCATTCGATACTGTTGGAATTTGTGACTGAATCCGGAGGCTGGACGATAATTACGCCTTCATCCTATCGCTGTTGACCTAAACTTCAGAAGTGGGGATATGCCACCGATGTTGACCCCTGCTACCAATGCAGGAAATCACAAACTATGGAACATGTAACACGCGACAAGAATTCAAACAGTAACCCTTTCAAAATTAGGAAGCCACTTTCATCATGAAAGCGGCCCACATGAATCACTCAGTTACGTGTCATGCGTGATACACTCTTAGGCGATCCACTTGAGTCTTGGTGTCATTATTGCCTTGTTTGGGCTGAAATGATAAAAAACTAAAAAAAAACTAATTATTACTACATATGTTATTTTAGTAGTTACCCGTGTTCGAATAAATATCCCCGCTTTTTAAAAATTTTCTTAAACAGTGAAATTAACCGGCTAAATTAATCTAACTAAAGGAAATTGTGACACGCGACAAGAATTCAACCAGTGCCACTTTCAACATGAGGAAGCCACTTTCATGACCAAAGAGGGCCACATGAATCACTCAGTTACGTGCCATGCGTGATACACTCTTAGGCGATCATGTATCTTTCGATACATAACTGACGAGGCAGATTTTTTTCCCGCAGTAGGTTGCCATTTCTTTTTGCGAAATTTTCTATACAACCCGGTCTGTCCTGCTATTTAAGTGGGGGGGGAAGAAGAGGATTCATACCTTTCTCAAGTGCATTCTCAAGTGAATGTAATGGATTCGAACCCTGCTGTCCGATTTCTCAGTCCAAGCCGCTATCCAGTAGGATCTAGATAAAAGCGAAGGTCAATTACCTGTTCAAGGAAACGCATATCTCTCGTTAGGACTTGGGCAGCTGGATATAATAGTTAGCAGGTTTTGTTTCGCTAGAACCATTTCGACAGTGTAGGGAGTTCGATCCTTCCCGGCTGTCCCATACTTTCGGCCTTGTGCCACATCTAAGCTACGCCCAGAAAATCACCATATATCGTTGGGACTTCCACAAATCTATAACTTTTGGCTTCATATCCCTACCCGAAGCGTAAATACCATATTTTTATGAACGTATTTTTAATCTAACATTGATTCTTATTACTGTAGACTTTATTTCTAGTGGGTACACGCGTTTGTGTTTCTATCCCATTTTTTTTAAAATTCTTAACAGTGAAATTAATAACAACCGGCGTAGATTGTGCTGTTTCGGCTAATAAAAAAAGATTGTATCAATCTTACTTATTATAAAATGCAGATTGTGTGTGTGTGTCTGTACGTTTATATATTGGATCGGATTTCCTACATTTTTCAACCGATTTCAACAAAATTTCACAGGACTACGTAAAATTACATGGCGGTGGTTCTGACAGTGCCAAAATTTGGAAAAACACAATTGTTTTTGCACGAAATCAATTTAAAAACACGATTAAGAGGCATCGCGAGAATGAAAGGAGGACAACTCATATCGAGTTATACTTATTATAAAACCCAGGTTGGTTGTTTGTGTGTGTGTGTGTGTGTGTTCATTTATATATGTGATCGGATTTCTTACATTTTTCAAGCGATTTCAACAAAACTTCACTTTTTTTTGGCAGGTAGTGTTTCTTATCTTCTTGCACACTTTTTTCTTTATTTTTACATTCAGAATGCTTTAAAAATTCCATTTACAAGACAATTGTTTATCATAAAATCATATTCAATCGGGAGACTCATAATGATTGAAAACAATGTTTTTGTTCGAGTTTGGGTTTGACCAATTCGTAAAAAAAAAAAAATTAATAAAGACATGCGTGTCCGTCAACCTTAAACATTAATCTTTGTCAATTTTATTTTTCAGTCTTTATGATGGTCGATACGTGATCTGTCACTTACTGTTACATTCCCGGGCAATGCTGGGCTCTACTGCTAGTAATTAATAATTTGCGTAATAATAACAAAGTGGTTTGGGTCACTGCACGTTGAAATACTGGTTCTTCCTCGATCAGCGATGTTAGAAACCTTAAGCAAGGTCATATGGGTAAATATAAGCTACGCGACAGGCCCAGCAAATCGGCGACGGATAAGGTCTCGCTACACTATTTACATTGTTTGGACTAACATCCTCATCTTTATCGCCATACTTATCACAACGTTTCGGCTGTTGTACGCTCCGGCCTTCTTCAGGTGGTTGGAATATCGAACTGAACCCTATATTTCGCTCGCTGGGGTAGACTGTTCTAGTTCCACGTGTCATGTCTGATGGATGTCAGTTATCAGTTATCTCCTGTTAATTTCCCTCTCCAAGTTCTCCACCGCCTTAACCAGGTTTTTAACTTACACTCTTTGGGTCCTGTCACTGGATTTAACTAACGCCTTTATTCACTGTGCCATGTGCCCTTCAGGACACATGGCACAGTGAATAAATTAGACATGGCACGTAGAACTAGAACAGTCTACCCCAGTGATCGAAATAAAGGGCTCAGGTCGACATGCCAACCACCTGAAGAAGGCCAGAGCGTACATCGGCCGAAACGTTGTCATAAATATGGCAACAAAGATGAAGATGATAGTCCGAACAATGTAAATAGTGTACATAATACCTCATCTCAGAAATATGAAGGTCTCGATACTTATACTAACAAAAGACGTCGACACGTGGAGGTGTATCTAGACTGACATTCTTACTCGGTTCTCCGCTTAACAATTCCGAGTCATTATCCATTAAGCCATCCGTACACCCAAGTTTACAGCACATGCTGTTCCCAAGCGGCCACCGATCTGGCCTGCCTCGATGTTGCTTAACTTCAGTGACCTTACGGGAACCGGTGTTTTAACGTGATGTATTCGTAATACTTTCAAAGATGATTAAAAGTTTAAATTAAATATTAAACGAAATTAAATGCCTGAATCTGAAAAAAAGGGTTTTCTCTATCATAAAATCCTCCCTGAAGATAGTTTTTAACCACCAGTCTGTCAGAGCTCACTTCTTGGGTCATAAATGATCGGCATACGAATATACTCCGATCATTTATAAACGTCTATGCCGATGATACAACGATATACCGGCGCACCTCTAAAAATTTTGCCGATCAGAGAATGGTAGCTGACCTCTCTTCCGATCTAACTCTAATTTGCCAGCGGGGAAAAATTGTCTGGTTACATTCAATGACTCTAAATCCAAACTAGTTTCATTCCATAATCGCCGATCAGACCCTGAATTAATGCCAGTCCCAATGAATATCCCTACATCCATCGCTAAAAATGCAGGTACAGCGATCGGCTCCCTGTACCGCTCCAAAAGGTACCTGACTCCTCATGCTATTCTCTACCTTTATAAGATCCAGATCAGGCCGAAAATGGAGTACTGTTGTCATATCTGGGCAGGAGCTGCCCAGATCCTATTTTTCAGTCTAAAAGCTTCGTTGTAGAAGAATTATTTTCCACGCTCCACCTTCTCTCTGATAGGCTGAGGGTGGCGAGTTTCTCACTGATCTATCGCTACTTCCACGGAAAGTGCTCAGACCAACTGCATCTCCCGGTTCCGTCAGGTCTGACCTTCACGTCTAGGACCCGCCATGCCACTTACATAGTAGCAAATCACACACATTCCCTCCGTATTCCATCGACGAGAAGTAAGTTCCACTCAAACAGCTTCTTCCACTACCCTACGGAACAGATTCCCTAGAGGATGTTTAGGTTAAGATTGTAGTCTAGAGTCAGTTAATTCTAGAGTTAACCGTTATCTTCTCCACATAAACTTCCATTTATCTTAACCCTCTACCTCGAGTAGCTCCCAGAACGTGTACAGGATGAATCTTACTGTAAAAAAAAGACCTAAAAGCGGTGGGTTAGAGAGGAGGCTAGACTGGTCTCTTTTGGGTAGCAACCAGTCTTAGAGAAGGAATAGTCTGAATTTAAAACTAGAAAACGCAACGATAGAGGGCTTCATTATATTTTCCCTAAATTCACTGGTAATAAAGAAAAGGAATGTGTGGAGAGTCATGATCATGTAGGAACATGATATAACCAAAACAAAGCAGAAATGGATGAACCTGGAAAATCGCTAAAATGTTTAACAATAACAAATTCAAAATTTACAAAATAATCTAGAATTTTTTTTGCGAAAAGTTCAATTAGATTTCTATCGAAATATTCTTATCCAAAATGTCGAAATGAAGTCCATTTTCTGATTGCATAAACAGAGAAAGAATGAGCCACCGATGGAATGAAAGAAAGAATAAACTGTATTTTACTGCAGCGGGACGTTTGGTTTGGCTTCTGCAAGGATAACAGTAAAAAAAAATACGAAAATAGTCGTGTTTTGTCCCTAATGGGAACGTGACTGAAAAAGAATGCTTCAATCGATAAATGTAAGTTTCTTTTCATTGTATTTCTGGACAAACGTAGTAAAAGGCGGGCCAATGCCTGCGCGCGTTTTCTCTTTTCTATTCAGAATTCCTTTCACGCGCATCCTGTCTAACTTGATTCATCTTCGGCCGTGACATTTGGCAAATAGGCTCTTCATAGAAACTGAAGATTTCCAGAAGTGTCCCCTTTTTGCCTCCTTCCCTGTCCTGAATAGTCCCCAATTAGAAGAATAGGCTACGTATTTACAACCTTGTTAAGAATCGTTTCCATGTCTAAAATGGCGAGGAAATGGGTGTCACGGAGCTTCGAAATACTAAAAAAGATAATAATAATAATAATAATAATAATAATAATAAGCACTGTGAATTCTTTTTTTATATTGTTTTTGGTTGAGCGGGTGCTCAAACTTGACCCACATTTACCATTCTTCAGAACACTGTCAAAAACCATTTTCACCATTTTACTGGATGATAGAATTTTTCTTCTATTCATTTAAAGTTTGATCTTTTTGTACAGAGATCATTTAGAAGAAAACTTTTCGGTTAAGACACTTTCGTTATATAATATTTGGCAAAGTACTTCGACGAAAGGGAGAAAGGCTTGTTTCTTTTATTATACTTATTCTTTTATTATGCATATCCTTTTATTATGCTTATTCTTTTATTATGCTTATTCTTTTATTATGCTTATTCTCTTTCCTTATTTCTTTTATCTTCATGACTTGGGATTCATTCCTGTCTTTAATTCCTCTATTTCTTTGATTGATTTCCTTTCTTTCCCACTTCTTCCTTTATGTTTCTTTGTTTGTTACTTTAAGTATGGTAGACTGAGAAAAATATTCCCAGAGTAATGCATTATGGCAAGCCGTAGAAGGCTTTTACGCATTTCAAAGTTTTGTCAAATCCTGGTAATTTTTTTCCTGATCGAGTTTGATCCACTGATTAAAAAACACACTTGCAATCAACTTTGATTTCTTATTTATTGAAGAATAGCGATACAAACTATTACAGAATGCGGAGTCTGGGCCAGGATGGTCAGTGTGGGCGTGGCATTCTAACAGTGATCGATTGTCTTTGTCTAAGTTTTGGATATAAGATCAAAAAGTCGTTGCAACGCTTTCCCACATACAGGTTCGTTAGACAAGCTAAGGCCGCATGTGACGGTATGTATGAAGTGACGTTGGTGCAACAAGGGCACCTCGAGGCGGGTAATAGTTAGCAAGCTTGTCTCGCTAGAACTATTACGACTGAGTAGTGAATTCGATCCTCACTGGATGCCCCATACTTTCGGCCTTGTGCCACATCTAAGCTATGCTTGGAAAATCGCTAGATACAGAAGGCAACAATACTTTTGAATTTCAATAAAATAATTGAAGCGTTGATGGATTCTAAAAATTTCTGATCGAAGAGTTAAAGGAAGAAGTTTCTTAAACTAAAATTCTTCAACTTTATTTCTTAAAGCTTTTCCCTTTTGTTTGGATGATTAGTTATTAGAATGGAATAGTCACACTGATAAATAAAAGGCCTTTTCCCATTTAAAAATTAACCAAAAAGGGCTTAATCAGCTGACGGATTACAAAACGAGCCTGTCACGCTTTTAACTGGGTACCCTTGCTGAGATCGTAATTTAGCGTATAAACCTGTGACCTCTGAAGAAAAGATATAAAAAGTACAGACTCTTAACATACTTACACGTAAAACGTAGCGTTTATCTCTTCTAAGAGATTTGCTTTTGTTTTTTACGGCTTATCAACCTTTCGCAGATTATTTAAAGCAAGAAAATATTTTTAGATTGTAAGAGATTTTTGGAGATAATAATGATTTACTGATACAATTTTTACTAATTAACCCATAGCTGTGGGGTAGTAGATTCTTAACTTCCTAGTGGTTATTTACGCGTAAGTGAATATAACCATCCCGACTGCGATTTTCATTTCCGAGCCATTATCCATTGACCCACCGTCAGTACCCAGTATTCCTAAGCGGTTACCCATCTCGGTACTGACCAGACTCAACGTTGCTTAACTTCTTTGATCGCATAGGAAGAGGTTTTTCAACGTGATCCATCCGTAAGCCTTATCTCTTCTACTTATATATATGCAATCTATCTATCTATCTATCTATCTATCTATCTATCTAGCATATATATATTGTGTCAGTCTTTTGAACTTTTGTTAATTTATTGAATACATATGTCGGTATATTGATATCAATAGAAAATCTATAGAAAATACCCTGTTAATATCAAGTGTAAGGATTATGGATCAGACTTGATTAAAACTAGTGAATATGCATTAATATCCAAATATTCATGATATATATATATATATATATATATATATATATATATATATATATATATATATATATATATATATATATATATATATATATGTCTCTGTGTCTGTGCGTGTGTGTATTTACCTAGCATATCTTTATTCAAGCATGTTTGGTTGAATAATCTAGACATATTGTATCTGTTTATTTTTATTTTTAATCCTCTCAAATTCACGGATCAATTTCTTAGTGTTGCTATTAAACTAATACGCCGTAGGCTTTTTTTTTTTTTTTTTTTTTACTTTCCCAAGTAATTTCAATCTCATCCAAGATCATCTTCAGGCGTAAATTGCTAAGACAAAAAATTAATGTAATTTTTTTGTAAATACGCATGAAACTCGCTCCGTTATAGTAAATTTAAGAATTGAATGTTAAAATTGTAAGCAGGTAACTTCATTCATATACTTTTTTTTATTATTAATGTTTTGAAATACTCAACCTGCAATTTAAAAAATAAAAGAAATCACCAAAACTACGGCGTCTTTCTTAATCAGTTTAATAAGAACACTAAGAAATTGATACGTGAAATGGAGGGGATTAAAATAAAAATAATTACATACAATATGTCTAGTTTATTCAACCAAACATGCTCGAATATATATATATATATATATATATATATATATATATATATATATATATATATATATATATATATATAAATATTCAAACATTCGAAAAATGAAGTTAAAAAGATGGCCACACAAACCAGTTGAACGCCATTCAAAGAAACAAATATTTTATAATAACACGTGTCTTTCGTTACTAAACATCTTGCACTTTTTCTTTACACTTTCTCATGGACAAGGTGAAAATAAACAAATGTAATTATCTTCTTATGCCTCAAACTTATTCCGTAATTTTTCGCATGTATCGGACCTGAGGTGCCTTCGAATAATTGAAACTAAAGGAATTACGAAGCAATAAATATTCGGCCAAAAGGCAAAAAAAAAAAAAAGAAAAGAAATAATGCCGGATGAACTCCCCCACCTCGCCCCCCAAAAAAAAAAACAAAAAAAAACGTGGGAAATCAAAGATGATAGTAATTGGAAAAAGCTTGGTTTTCATTCACTGAATCAGCACGAACGTCAATTCAGATCATTCTGTTTTATAACACATATCGCCTAACTTGCCTCTTCTTCGCGATAGGATTATTTTCTTTCTCTGAAGCATTTCTATCTAAAAAAGAAACTCTTAATAATATAATTTCCCCTGACGGAAATCCTGTCTTAGATTTCATTTTGGTTTTATGTGGCACTTATATTTAGCTTCCTTCCTATTTTAGGCCGGGTTATTGGAAAGTAAGCAAAGAAAAAAAAAACGAAGGTATTCTGAGAATCTTCAAGACACACTGGAAAGTACTTAGAATGTTCTCTTTGACTGACAATATTTTGAATGGCGCGTCAAGTTTCTTTGGAGAGATCTCCTTTGCAGGTATAAAACTATACAAATAAATATTATTTTTTTTTATCAATTAAAATCATTCAATAATAATATCAGGTTGATTAATTAACGATATACCAACACATCTGTCTATATTTCTGAGATGAGGTACTTGTTACATTGTTCGGACTGTTGTCTTCATCTTTATTGTCATATTCACAACGTTTCGGTCGTTTTACGCTTCCTTAGGTGATTGGAGTTTCGAATTGAATTAGAACTGGAACAATCTACCTCGGTAGACGAAATAAAAAGGTTCAGTTCAAAATTCCAATCACATGAAGAAGGCCGGAGCGTACAACGGCCGAAACGTCGTGAACATGGCAATAAAAATGAGGACAGTAATCCGAATAATGTAAATAATGTAAATATCAACACATGTTGAATAATTTAATATAGAAGATAAGTTTCTGAGGAAACAATTAGAACGAATTAAGATCTAATTTCAATAGAGTAAAAACATAGATATTAGTGGGGTCTGTACCTGGCCATACAAGTGAGTACACTGAAATTGATCCCCTTTATGTGTGAAAATCTTAAAATTCGACAGTCGGCTATTTCTCAGCCGACGGGCAGCTTAAAATATCATGTTAAATCCGAATCTATTATATGAAATATTTCTTAACTGCATTAAGAACGAATTTCACGAAGTAAGATTTTAGAAGCACATGCTAGTAAAAATTCGGTTAGGTTACTGAAGTAACTAACAGGTTATATAATTAGAAAAGTATGACATTAGTCAGTTACCATAACAGCGAAGAATGGTCAATATCTAGAATTAGGGTTATGGAAAGGTGGGAGGTGTAAAATTGTGAAAGATATATATATATATATATATATATATATATATATATATACACACACATACAAATAAAGAGAAAGAACAGTCAGATTAAAAATTCACAATTCTTTGTCATTTATTTTTTAAAACGTACTCGATACAAAGTAGAGATTAATATTATAATATTATTATTTAAAATATTTTAGAATCGCGACACGGAAATTCCCCTGTTTCGGAACTAAAATTTTTGTTCCATTTTCAAGCGATGTTGAATAACTTCAGAAAAAATGATTTACTTTTGTAAGCAAAGTAGTATTATATTGAGGAGTTTAAATGGGAGCGTTAATGATATTACAAACTTATTATTATTATTATTTACGGCGTATTTCTATTTTAGAATATGGTTGGAAATGTTTCAGAACTCCTGGAATCCAATTTGTTTGTTTTCAACCTTGGCCAAGATCGCTAGTGTATAGTTATACTTTGCATTTCCTGGCAGTCTTTCGGTCAGTTCCAAATGAAGCAAGTATCTTAATACACCGTTCCTTGTGATAGATATTGTAGTAGTCGTTATGATGATCAATGGCTGCTGATCGGTTTTTGTTGGTATGAAATTCTCAATTCCAGAATGGATCCATTTCGAGGCAGTAGCTTCCGTCATGGGAGACCTAAAGTTGTTCCTGTCGGCTTTGTGAACCTAAAATCGTTCAATGGCACGGCACATCAGACGGTGCCTATGGTTTGGCATCGACTTTTGACACTGACTAATGAATGATCAGAAGTTCCAATGGGGGCGGGTAAAACCTCAGCGAAGCATTTTTCCTGGTTGGATGTGAGGAAGGCTTCAAGGAAGTTCGCCTGATATCCTGTGGCGTTGGGAACACGGGTAGGCTCTTCAATGAACTGTATCTGCTCTTTCTTCATCGGTTTTGTTTGAGTGGATTCACTCTTTGTGGTGAATATTGAAGTCACAACAAATATGAAATCTAGCCGGGTACTCAGTGAGGATAATGTCAATCATCTCAACTATTCGATCGAACACTATACTTCTCTCATCCTGAGGATGATAAAGAGTAAAAATGAAAGTGGCGCTGTGGACAAGTACCACGCAGAAGCACATATACGGGAGATCAGGATCCCCGTTCTTAGTGTCTCTGCTATATGGGAACTTAATATAGGCGCCATGTCGATGCCGTGGCGATTTCAGCTAGAGGCGAGTTGGCAAGGATTCAGAGTTCCTGTACTGTAATAGATGGATCGATACCAGTTTCAAACAGGGATAATAACTATAATAACTAAATAAACTTCCTTTACTTTTGTTTTTGTGGGGTTGGGTTTGATTTTTCTGTTCAATTTTGTTGTGGTTACGTTTCGAAATTAATGTGTTCAGCTGAAGACTGGGTTGTGAGGCAGTCACAACCACATCAACAACCTGGAATGAATCATCCGGAGTTACAACCGTAACAGTACTCTCCATCATGATACCAGATACCCCACCGGAGACTACTGCAAGTTCCGGACCCATTCGCAAAATTGAACTACAATAACCCTGATATTATACACCTGCTGATAGGATAGCCTTCTTCGAAGTTACTCAAAGGTTCAGATCCCTGTCTGTCAGGCGGATAGTGCCAAAACCCAGAAAACATTTATTTAGAGCAACAAGTAACCCAGCGAAGAAGATACAGGCGTGATACCCTGAGTGTAGATGTTTACCCAGAAATCATGACAACAGGACTTCTTGAGTCAGAAATATCGGACCGGTCTGAGGGCCTCAGGGACCGATATAATATATATATATATATATATATATATATATATATATATATATATATATATATGTGAAGACCCACTGAGAGGAACCGATAACGAAAGTTGTTTGGCGGTGCATCAGCGTCCCCTACCCACATTGGATTTAATATTATCGTAGAAACAAAATTACGAGAACGAGAGTTAACATTGAAAGAAAAGGAAAAGAAAAAGAAAAGAAAAGTAATAAAAAAAAAGGAAAGAAAGAAAAAAGAAAAGAAAACGAAATGAAAAAGACAAATATAAAAAAGTTTTTAAATTTAACAAATTTTCGTTTCCCCCTAATGATGTGAGTAAAACTGAAAAACCTAGGTATGATTATGATTTTTTATGTCCAAGGAAATTTAACCCACATGGAGGCGGGGTAAGGGAAACAAGCACTAACCGCGAGTTTCGTATGGTAGGTCAAATTAACATTGGCGTTGGCAACCTGCTGAAAGATGAAAACAATTATACATTCCTTTTATACATTTTAAATCAATTATACATTCCCATAAATCAACCGTTTCTCCCCCATCTATGGGTTAATTAGTAAGACTTATATCATTAAGCCGTTACCTCAAGAAATTCTTACAATCTAAAATATCTTTAATATACTTGGTCAAATTATCTCGGTTTTGGCAAATTTGTGACTGAAGGGAAGCAGTATACATTTATTAAATCATTTCATCCCAAGCAAAGTGGGAATGCCACTAGTAGGCAGCGGTGGGGGGTTACAGAGAGTAAAAATTAGAGAAAAGACTAGGTATAGGGGGATTAAGGAAAGGAGAAAA